CAACATGCCTAATCCATGTAATCTGTGAAACGGTCCTCATCCATGCTGTGCAAACCACCAAACGACAAGCACTATTTTCCACTGCCATTTGGTCATCTGCATGGACAAGTGCCATGGCGCTGCAGCAGACAGCCGGCTTTCATAAGTGCTGGAGTGCCTCTTATCGTGCTTGTTCGGCCATCACAGTCGCCTCTGACGCCGTTCTCTCAGCCAGCGGCGTCCGAAACGGAACGGGCTGTGAGAGGGGCTTGTAGACAGAGTCGTCAAAGGCACCACTCATCCAGCACTAGAGCAGGTGCTGCCTCTCCTCGCCTGTTGGTGGCTGATGCTCGGGCACTCGACCACCATGTGTCTCGCAGCTTCTGCACATTCAACGACACCAGCCCTTGCACGAGGAAGGCAGCACCTGTTTTAATATAAGAATTATTCCACAACTGCTAGTCTTGCTCCCTCAGCCTGAAATAATCTGACATAAACCCCACAGTCTAAACCCACATCTATTTCGTTCAGCAGTCCCTAGGTTCATTTTCGAATCTGTAATCCCCGTAATCCATAATCCTTGTAAACATGTTGGATTAACCTTGACCTGCCCAAGTTAGAACAGGGTTTGGATAAAAACATGCGTGTGGTATAGTACACTTTTCATTATGGACCCTACTACTTGTTCATGCTCTTTGGCCGCACAGACTATCCTTGCACTTGTAGTTTCAGGGGGCATGGGTGACTGACAATCATGCTTGGAGGCCCATGGGTAGTAAGTGAGCCATAAGTAGGGTAACTATAGTTATAACCCGTATTAGGGGACTTATAACTCCACTTATAACTGCCCATGAACCTCAAAGTGAACTCAGGGACAAACCGCGTTGGGAGGAACAAGGGTTTAGGGTTTTAGGGGTTTAGGGTTTAGGGTTTTGGGTTTAGGGGTTGAGGGGTTGAGGGGTTTAGGGGTTTAGGGGTTTAAGGTTTAGGGAGGACCCGTCGTTCTGAAGCCCTAAACCCTAAACCCTAAACCCTAAACCCTAAACCCTAAACCCTAAACCCTAACCGAAATACGAACCAAACAGCGGCCCAAGGTTTCTAAGGATCACGGGGGCTTAGAAAGGAACGTCATAAGTATCTGAAACGGGATCTCAAGTACCTTAAGGACGACTTAGGGTTTAGGGTTTAGGGACAAGTAGGGGGCCCTATACCCTTGAAACTATGAACCCCTATATGGTATATGAGCCCT